GAATCCTCTGCCTATTCCTGGTATTTAATACTAGAATAAATGAGCTCAATGGATTTTTTTATTTCCCTCAAATATATTTGTAAAATACTGAGTTTAAAATAAGAGATTCAAGTGTTCTTTGTTCCTAGACATCTCAGAACTGTTTTACATGCTCACGTGAGTCAGGACACTCCTGAGTGTCTAGAACACAGAGACCACAGACCCAGACCTCTCAGACTGACAGCGCTGGAAGAAAACTGTTCCAGAGAACACAGTGTGGGGAATGCTGAGCTTGTATGTTACTGCCAGAAAAATAGCTTAAATTATTTCTTGCAAATCATCAAAACTTTAAAACTCACAAACTTTCAAAATTGTACAAAATTGAATAGTTGTTCCATTTTTCATAGAAAAGAGCCAAGCAAATTGTAGATGGGACAACTTTGTCTCATGAACAATGTGATAGTTTACTTTAAAAATTTTTTCCTCTCAAATTATTTGCACTGTGGAATCATCTGTGGGGCTTCAAAACTACTGATTCCTTGGTCTTACCACTAGAAATTGTGATTTAATTGGGAAGTTTTAAAATATCCCCAAGTGATTCTAATATGCAGATACTTTTGGGAACCACTCCTGCCAACAGGAATCTCTTTTTGTTATGATCTGTTCTCTGCTCCAGATCTATAATATTTAAAAACAATTTCCTCCTTTTTTAAAATTAAGAATCATTATTTGGATATTGAATGGTTATTTAGTCATCAAATGTTGATGTGCTTGGTATTTGTTGCCATATCATTGTGATATCATGCTTATCCCATTAATTGTCAATACAAATGACTAGTATAATGGAAATCTGCTTTTAAAAGTAAGTGGATACTTAGGTTAACTAAATTATTAATAAAATCCAAAAACAAAATTATTAATAACATCATTCACTAATATAATCTCTAAAAATATCTAAGAGTCCTTTAGCCAAGATAATGAAATTTTATTAGCCACTTAATTTGTTAGAATCGGCTAGTAGCATTTATAATTCACTAGACATTGGCCTGAGAGAGGAGCAACATGAAGAGTGTGCCCTTTAAGAGCACAGAACCTCCATGTGGAAACCAAGATGTCTTCAAGAACTGTATGAATTTGATAAAATCAATGATATCAACAGCTGATTATTGGGCACATCCCAGGCACTGGGGATATACTGGTAAAATAAGAAATTCCTATACAGCCTAAATTGTAATGGAAGGAGAATGATGATAAGTTTATAAAAGTAATATAGTTTCTGAGACTGATAAACCTTTAAAAAAATCAGGTAGGGTACGGTCGTGGAGAATGATAGAAAACAGGTGGAGAGCAGCAGTGGTTGCGTGTGTGGTAAGCCTCTGAGGGGAGGTGATTCGTGAACCATCTAAGTCAACGGTTCTCAACCTGTGGGTCGCGACCCCTTTGGAGGTCGAACAACCCTTTCACAGGGGTCGCCTAAGACCATCCTGCGTATCAGATATTTACATTACGATTCATAACAGTGGCAACATGACAGTTATGAAGTAGCAACGAAAATAATTTTATGGTTGGGTCACAACATGAGGAACTGTATTTAAAGGGCCAGAAGGTTGAGAACCACTGATCTAAGTGAAGGGAGGGAGAAAGCCATGGACCATCTGCAACCAGAGTGGCCCAGGCTGTGGGAACAGCCAGAGCAGTAGCTGGTACGGTAGCAGGTGAGACCTTTGAGTAGCAGCAGAAGTATAACAGCATGAAATGTAGAGAAAGAGACGAGGTCAGAGAGGCAGGCGAGAGCCAGGTGATAAAAGCCAGCACCTCATAAGCCATCGTCAGGTGTTGTTTTTCTAAGTGTTCCAGGAAGCCTGGGAAGTGCTATGGCCCAATTTACATTTAAAGAGATAAATTTGGGCTGATATATGAAGAGTAAATTATACGAAGGCAAGGTAAAAGCAGGAAGACAGGGAGCTACAGCAGTGGTCCAGGCAAGGGTTGATGGTGAAGCAGAGAGATGGCAAGTGAGATAGTGGGAGTTTTGATGCCGAAGTGATGTAGATGCTATCACACAAAAGGATTTGCTAATGGAGTTTGGCCTTTAGGACACCTAACACATAGAAGCAGGTAATCAAAAAGTTACAATCAGAAAAGTTATATAATTAATGGTTGAAGCTAGAATTAATGCTCGTTATATATAGATTCTTTTCTATGTAATAGAAATACTTTATTAAGCCATTCTTTTTTATAGAAGAAAAGTGGTATTTTTTTAACAACTGTGGAAATCTGAATTACCCTATTTTTTCTTTACTCTTTCAATCATGAGAATCCAGAATCACCAAAATAATAACTTTCAGTAAAACTTATAGTGGTGGGCATAAACAGTTTAAGATTGTCACTGTATGAGTAATTTAACCAGAAGTTATGGTTGGAGAGGTGAGAATTCTTCTGTTACTTTGGTCTACTTACCTCTATGTCTAGATCAATGATTCTTCCACCTGCAGGGGGAGGAGTGAGAGGACTAACTCTCCTCTCCATCCTATCCTGTTATCTTTCTCCACTCTCCCCTACCTTTTCCTCCCACTCATGCCCACATACCTCTTGGTCAATCAGCATCACTATATCATCCTATGTACATGCTTGTTGGGTCATGGGAGAGGGGAAGTGGTTTGATTAGCACTTCCATTTTTCTATTAGACATTGTAGATAAACATAGTAAAAAAGAACAAAGATTTAGGAGCCACAAGTTTAAATTCTGTCCACTAATTCTGAGCTTCATGATTTAGGGCAACATATTTCATTGATATGAACCTCTACCACCTCATCTGTAAAATGTAATGATTTCTAACTTTAAATGAGGTTAATTGTGATTATGAATGTAAAGCACTAGAATACAGTTGATACTCAATAAACAATAGCAATTATAATAACAACTACATTTTCCCAGAAGTTTTCATATATTGAATATAATATTTTAAGAGCAAAGACATTCAAGTCAGGCTACCTTATACTGCATATAAGATTTGTGGCTTTGTATATATTTTTGAACCTTGCTTCTACTTTGTTTCCTCATCCATAATTGGTTAAAATAAAAAAAATTAGGGTAAAGGAAGTCAAATATATGGTGACGGAAGGAGATTTGACTTTGGATGGTAAACACACAATGAAATATACACATGATGTATCATACAACTGTACACTTGAAACCTATATAATTTTGATAACGAAAGTCACTCCAATAAATTTAATGAAGAAATGTTTGAAAAAATATCAACTCTTGGATTGTAGTGAGGGTTAAAGAGCATCTCTACATATAAATGCCTAAGCGACAGGACGACCAGACGACCGGATGACTGGACAGTAGCTATGACACGCACTGACCACCAGAGGGCAGACACTCAATGCAGGAGCTGCCTCCTGGTGGGCAGTGCGCTCCCACTGTGGGAGCGCTGCTCAGTTGACAGACGAGCGCCAGACGCCGGGCTCACGGCTGGTGAGCACAACTGAGGCAACACGAACCTCTCTGGCGCGCACTCCCCCTGTACACCTGAGCAGTGGCGGCAGGCGCAGTGGGTCTGGGATGAGCAGGAGCTGCTCAGCACTCATTCCTGGCTCAGGCTCCTCTCCGGCTGCCTGCCACTTCCTGCACTACTTCGATTGATGTGGACAGAGGGCTGGAGCCCAACAAGATGGTGGATAGGCCGGGCTGCAGCGGCGCGGAGGTCCACTGATCCCCACAGCCCAGCCCAAGGGACCCCACTGATGTACGAATCTGTGCCCCGGACCTCTAGTAAGGTATATAAAGACTAGATGAAAGCACAGTACTTGGAACATATAAGTATTATTTTATAAGTTAAATATTGTAAACAATTGTGTTTCAATTACTTGTTTGAAATTATAGATAAACGTGCAAGGATTGTGCCTAGGTCTTATATTTTCATTCTTCATAAATTAGGTCAGTTTGTATCATCTTAACCAGGGAGTTGTTACAATGAGTAGTGGACTTATTCTATCAGTCATAAAGTAAAAGGGACGTTTATATATCTGCTTAATTGATTCCTATAATCATATTGTCTTATTCAGGACTTCAAAATAATAATTATCAAATACTAGAGACCCGGTCCACAAATTTGTGCACCAGTGGGGTCCCTCAGCCTGTCCTGTGGAATTGGGCCAAAACCGTCTCTCCAACATCCCCCAAGGGGTCCTGGATTGCGAGAGGGTGCAGGCCAGCCCGAGGGACCCCACCAGTGCATGATCAGGGCTGGGAAGGAACGCAGGAGGTTGTCCAGCTTGGAGGGATCGTGGGAGGGCTCCAGGGCATGTCTGGCCTGTCACTCTCAATCCCAATCGGCCAGACCCCAGCAGCAAGCTAACATATCTGTTGGAGCATCTGCCTCCAGTGCACATCATAATGACTGGTCGACCAGTCGACTGTCTGCCCCCTGGTGGTCAGTGCACATCATAGCAAGCAGTTGAGCTGCCTTAGCATATGATTAGCATATTACGCTTTGATTGGTTGAACGGCTGACCAGCTGACCAGACACTTAGCATATGAGGCTTTTATTATATAGGATAGTTTTATTTTGAATTTAGTGTTTACTATTTTTTCTCTGACACTTTTGTTAACCTTCATAAGATCAGTTTTTCTTTTCATTCATTTCTTTTGATATGTCTTTTTATAAATCTATTTCTCTTTCACTTCCTCACTAATAAAACTTACTATTAGCTAGCAATAAGTAGAATCTGGTAGAAGTTGAGTAATCTTCAAATAGAATTTGCTGGATTTTTTTCGATTGATCTTTAGTATTATTCTGAATACTATTATTCTCAGTACTATCCCCAAATTGGTAGTCTTTAGTAAATAACTGATTATTTCAGAGAAAAGCTGTGGTGCTGATGGTGTAAAGTCATTTATTTTTGTATATTAATTATGCTGTAATATTACTTTTATTATTGACATCAATCCAAAGATAACACTAATCTCATTAGGTGAACTTTACCTTCTGGCTCTTTTTCCCATTTTATAGCTGGCTTGAGTCCTGCTGAGATTCAGCAGTTGTGGAAAGAAGTGACTGGAGTTCACAGCATGGAAGACAATGGCATCAAACACGGAGGGCTCGACCTCACTACTAACAACTCCTCCTTGACTACCTCCCCCACCACTTCCAAAGCCTCACCACCAATCACCCATCACTCCATGGTGAACGGACAGTCTTCAGTCCTAAACACAAGGCGGGACAGGTACATCTCATGAGATTTATCTCAAACTTATCTTTCACCAGATTTTACTTTCACTGTCGATTAAAACTAAAAATTATGATTTGTGCTAACAAAGGGAAAATGTATAAAACAGCAAATTAAATGGAAACCTTTAGATTATTTGTCTTACACATTTTTTTAATTTCAAAAAGCAGTTTAAATACTAGCAGTTTTATGGCTACAGTGGTAATTTACCTGAAAAATGTTATTTTTAATAAGTGCATGTGGAATTATCATGTTGATATATTTTATTACTAAGATGTTGTTATTAACCTGAATTCCATCAGAACATTTTACCATTTTTTAACTTAACCAGTTTCACATATCATATATATATATATATATATATATATATATAGAGAGAGAGAGAGAGAGAGAGAGAGAGAGAGAGAGAGAGATATGATGGAATTTATAAATATGTAAAAATAAACTTATGCTGATAATTTTCTGAATAAATTTGACTCAAAATTTGTAAGTTAAAAATTATTTTAAGTTACCAACATTGAGTGCATTATGTCAGACTAGAGGCCCAGTGCATGAAATTTGTGCACTGGGGGTGGGTATCTGTCAGCCCAGCCTGTGCCTTCTCGCAGTCTGGGACACCTTGGGGAATGTCTGATTGCCTAAACTGGCAGTCGGTCGGACATCCCCTGAGGGATGTAGCAGTGTGCCAAGCAGCAGGCGGCCAGGGAGGAGCCCAAATCGGGGCCAGGTGTCGCTTGCGCTCATCCAGCCCGCTGCACCTGCTGCCATGGAGTCGGGAGAGGCTCCCACCATGGCAGCTGTGCTCGCCAGCCATGAGCCCAGCTTCTGGCTGAGTGATGCTCCCTCTGTGGGAGCACAATGACCACCAGGGGGCAGCTCCTGCATTGAGCATCTGCCCCCTGGTGCTCAGTGTACATCATAGGGACCAGTCATTCTGGTCCTTCTGCTGTAATGGTCGCTTAGGCTTTTATTATATAGGCTAGAGGCCCGGTGCACAAATTTGTGCACCAGTGGGGTCCCTCGGCCTGGCCTGTGGAATCAGGCCAAAACCAGCTCTCTGACATCCCCCAAGGGGTCCCAGATTGTGCAATGGCTCAGACCAGGCCAAGGGACCCCACCGGTGCATGATCAGGGCCAAGGAGGGATGTGGGAGGTTGGCCATCCAGGAGGGACTGTGGGAAGGTTCCAGGGCGTGCCTGGTCCATCTTGCTCAGTCCTCATTGACCAGATCCCAGCAGCAAGCTAACCTACCGGTTGTAGCGTCTGCCCACTAGTGGTCAGTGCACATCATAGCGAGCGGTTGAGCGGCCTTAGCATATCATTAGCACATTACGCTTTGATTGGTTGAACAGCCAAACGTCGACCGAACACTTAGCATATTAGGCTTTTATTATATAGAATAATTTTTAAAGTTACTGTTTTACTTTAGTTGTATAAAGACTGCCTTTGTAAGAGGAGTACCCATGCACTTTTGTCCATATAGTTCTGTAAGAGGAGTACCCATGCACTTTTGTCCATATAGTTCCATTTATTCAGGGATATGCATACCTATTCAAGGCCTTTAAAGTAATTTACATGAAATATGTAAGCTAAAATATTTCTCAACATGAAAAGTATCTTTTTAAAAGGTGAGACATAAGTGTAAGATTTCTTAAAGGGCTGAGGCAAATATGATATATAGTTTTCAAATTAAAGTGTAGTAGAAATATAGTGTTGTTTAGTAGAATACAAATATCTGCCTAGCTGCAACAGATATCCTATATAATAAAAGGCTAATATGCAAATAGACCAAACAGCAGAACAACCAAACAACCAGTCGCTATGACATGCACTGACCACCAGGGGGCATGTGCGGAACATGGCGGGCGCTGGTCGCAGGTGGAGCATATGAGACCAATGCGGGGCGCCGGTTGCTGTCATCAGGGCGTGCCTCTGGTGGTTATTGGAAATTCTTTGCTCCCGCACGCCATGGTCCCGCCCAGCACTTGCACCTGCTGCTGGTGCTGGAGCCACCGCTCACACCCACTGCCAGTCCAATCACTTGGCGCCATCAGTGGGTGCAAGCGGCAGCTGCCAGCCCTGATTGCTCCTGAGAACTTTTCCACCTCCCCCTGTTCCTGAAGGGCGATCGGGGCAGCAGCTGCCACTCACACCCGCTGACAGCACCAGCCCCACTTACACCTGCTGCTGGCACTGGCCCCAATCGCACCTTCGATGGGTGCAAGTGGGGCCAGCACTGTCAGTGCATGGGAGTGGTGAGGTGGGAGCAGGGCTGCCCATGGACAGGTGACCGGGACGTGGAGGGAGGGGCTAGGTGGGGGTGCAGGGGATGGGCCGAGACCCGACCCTGCTCCCACAGTTCCTTTCAAGGTGCACGAATTTGTGCACTGGGCCCCTAGTTTTTTTTCATAAAAAGATATTTTTTTCAAAGACACATTTAATTACAGTAAGTTTAAAATAGAATGTTATCATTTGGTGATGTTTTTGAGTATCATGAAAACTTTTTCTTGTTAGCTTGCATTAATATAAAATGATATTCCTCAGAATGCTTTTTATAAAGCATTAAATTAAATGCTTGTTTTAATTGAGATTAATTTGTTGATTGTATATTTCAGAAGTTGGCTGATTTCTCTAGGACAGTGGTTCTCGATCCCTTTGGGGGTCGAAGGACCCTTTCACAGGGGTCGCCTAAGACCATCGGAAAACACATATATAATTACATATTGTTTTTGTGATTAATCACTATGCTTTAATTATGTTCAATTTGTAACAATGAAAATACATCCTGCATATCAGATATTTACATTACGATTCATAACAGTAACAAAATTACAGTTATGAAGTCGCAACGAAAATAATTTTATGGTTGGGGGTCACCACAACATGAGGAACTGTATTAAAGGGTCACGGCATTAGGATGGTTGAAAACCACTGTTCTAGGATCTCTCTACCTGATATAATACATATCTAAGTAGCATTTTTTAAATCAGCTGTACTAGTAGACATATATATGGTTCACATGTATATATTGAACAATTTAAATGTCCTAATGCTCTTCTTTAAAAAGAGTATTTCAAAAATCTTATTATTCTCTTAAAAATACAGGTGGTTTTTTTTTCCCCACTTGACTACATATGAATAAATATATATACTTCTTTAGTGGTAAATGTTACATTAAGGTCATATGGCAGGATTAGCATATGATATTATGCAGTCCTCTCGGTTTTTCATCCTTTATTAACAGTTGTCTTTGGTTCTATTTCCCATCTAATTGGAACATCATCTAGCCTTGGCAGTTGAACTATTCAGTAGAACGATTAAATTTTCCTGAGTGCTCTGAGCTGAATTGACCTGTTTTGACCTGTTTGTCACTGGGTGTAACCTGACAGGCTCGAGCAGTCTGCAACGATTATGGCTTTCTGAGATGAATCTGATGCCTGTTCCTTTGCTACAGCTCATCACATGAGGAGACTGGAGCCTCTCACACTCTCTATGGCCATGGAGTTTGCAAATGGCCCGGCTGTGAAAGCATTTGTGAAGATTTTGGACAGTTTTTAAAGTATGTGTTTAACTTTTTTTAGGGGCGAAAGTGGGTTAATGGGAGTTATAGGCACATTGTTTTACATAAACAAAAGGTCTGTGGTGAGGGATAATAAGTTTTCTTTGTTTCAACGAGTGGATCAGCAAAGTCAGATGAAGAAGTTTAACTGTTCATCTTTTCTTTTCATGAGAAAATTTAGAAATCATTCAATAAAGTTTTTTTTGTTGTTGTTTTTGTTTTTTGGGGTTTTTTTTGGGTTTTTTTTTTTGCTTTTTGTTCTTTTTAATCCTCACCCAAGGATATTTTCCCATTGATTTTTAGAGAGAGTGGAAGAGAGAGAGGGAAAGACAGAGAGGAATATCGATGTGAGAGAAACACATCACTTGGTTGTCTCCTGCACACACCCAAACCAGGGCCTGGGCTGGGGAGGAGCCTGCAACCAAGGTATGTGACCTTGACTGGAATCGAACCCAGGACCCTTCAGTCCACAGGTTGACACTCTATCCACTGAGCAAAACCAGCTAGGGCCAATAGAGGTTTTTGAATGAATGAAAAACATTAGCCTACTATAACAGCATCATTAATAATTGGGACATCTGCTTGCAGGGTTCACTAAAATTTCAGTTTTTAATAAAAATTTCAAGTAAAACTATATGAGGAGTCATATTATATATGTGTATTTTAAACATATATATTTTATAGTTTTATTTTTTCATTGCAAACTTTATATTTCTTAATTTAAATAATAATATTTAAGATGTATATTTAACAAATGTCTATAAAAATAAAAAACTTTAAGTTAAAAGGAGCTAAAATTTTAAGATATTTATGTTTTATCCACATTGACACTTGTTGCCCCCAGCATCATAAAGAAACATACATGGTTGTATGTATGTATGATGGTTTGTATGGCTTCTCTAGCTTAAAATTAAAATTTGCAATATCTTTACTTTTTTCATACAGTGACAATTTATTATTTACTTTTTAAAAGGTCCTTTTTCAAATGAGAATATGCATTTTTCATGACCATTTTCCATGCACAATTCCAGTGTATGAGTTCTAAACAGAGCTGCAGATAGATTTATGGAGATGAGTAACTTCACAGGCTGACTCTTATGTTGTCATGGAGCAGCTAACAGGGTGAATGAACTGTTTCATGCTTCATCAACAATTAAGTTAATTAGCTCATTTGAAATCGCACTGCTATTTTGCCAGGATGTTGGCAGAAACATCAGAAAGATGTGTTTACAAATGGCAGACTACAGGGTATAGAGAAAAGGCATCTTAACAACAAGGCACACATACTTGATATCAGAATAACTTTATAACTTCTACAAGGATTTTTTAAAACATTTTTTTTTATTACTGACCACTTGAAAGGAAATATGCTTCCTATACTGCTGTGACTTTTTTAAATGTCCTGAAATGAATATTTGCACTCCTATTATATCAAAACTAGAGGCCTGGTGCACGAAATTCATGCATTAAGGGGGTTCCTCAGCCTGGCCTGCACCCTCTCGCAGTCCGGGAGCCCTCCGGAGATGTCCGACTGACGGCTTAGGCCCGCTCTCTGCAGGAAGCAGGCCTAAGCTGGCAGTCAGACATCCTTAGCACTGCCGCGGAGGCAGGAGAGGCTCCCACCACCGCCGCTGAGCTCGCCAGCCATGAGCCCAGCTTCTGGCTGAGTGGCGCTCCTGAGCATCTGCCCCCTGGTGGTCAGTGCGTGTCATAGCGACTGGTCGTTCTGCCATTTGGTTGATTTGCATATTAGCCTTTTATTATATAGGATAGTTGTGAGCTGTCATTGTGTTGGGTATGAAACTGATTTGAGTGTTCTAAGCAGAGAGCATTTAAAATCTTAGGTAACTTTGCTAAAGTTTTCCTGTTTTGGAAAAATAACATTTGCTAAAACAAAGACAGAATATAGGAATATTAATTTTTTTTAAGAACTAATTTCTTCATTTGGGTATATAAGTCCTTATCAATATTATTTCTTATCATTAAGATTAGTTACAGGACTAATGCTATTTCTTCAATATGATAATTTAAACCATAGAATCAGCCCAGTCACCATACATTTTATTGCTTCAAGTTATTCTATCTGACAAAACTCAAAATAAATCTTTAAGAAAATACCATATATTTTCTTCAGAATGACTTTCTTTATAGCACATGGAAAGGAGCATTTTTATTTATCTTAAATACTTAAATATATTTTATTACTAACAAGAAGATGAATAGGAACCCTCATTTTACCTTTCATGTTTCTTTATTATAATCATACTAGTATTTTTTAGACTGGAGAATTACAAGTGGGAAAGCATTTTCTTTCAATTAAATATCAACTTTGGTTCCAAAGACTGACCATTTTTCCGACCCATTAAATTTATAGGGATGACAGGACAAATGACAGCAGATTTTAAGGCCTTTCTGTTAGTTCATTTTTTTATGATATGCTTTAAATTCCCTAAACCACAGATCTGTGATAATTTGTTAATAGATCTAATGCCAGTGTACTGTACTGAAATGAAATATTAATAAGACATATTTCCATACTGATGTTGTTTTTTTCTTAAAATGTGTGTGAAATTTTAAGAGAAATAAAATAATAATTTTATTAAATTAATTTCAGTTTATTTAGTGATTTTTTAGAAAATGAAATGAAGAAGGCATCACCACTAATAAATATTTTCTTGAAATGAAGCTTTTGCTTTTCTTTTGTAATCATGGAGAGAATTGAGAGTCTTGGCCAAATAAGTCAAACAAGTCAAAAAGCTATGAAAGGTTTTTAGCTCTCCATTTTTTTGTTTATCCATTCTTTGGGAATTTTATAGCCAGTGTTTTTACAAAAGTTTTTTGGGGGTTTTTTTTGTGTGTGTGTTTTTTAGAAGATATTGTGGCATTTTTATTTCTAAAATGTATTAGAAATAAACTATATAGCTTGAACTTTACTTTGGTATCAGACAACTTATTCATTAGTTTGTAATCAAGTAAACTATCCATTATTACTACTTAGCCTACATATGTTAAATAACAAATAATAAAAAAAAATTATATTGAATCCCAAATTCCCTTTCTTACATTACTTTACCAGGTTGGTAGAATCTCTCACTGCTTTTACCCAGGATCAAATAAAAAGCCACCAGAAGAGAGTTGCATATATAGATATGTGTATACATATATATGTACATATATGTTTATGTACATATATATGTACATACATGTTATATATGTACATACATAATTTTAATATTTAATATTAAGTATTCAATTGAAACATTATTTTCTATTGCATAAAAAAACTTAAGATTAAATTAGAAACTTTTATTTGTAATAGCCAAATAAAAGATGAAGAAGAAAATTCAGGCTAAAAAGGTATTTAGAAAAAATTTTGAATTTTTCTGTAAAGTAGGTGTTGACAGAAGCTTATCATTTTTCTGAGCAATAATTGAAGACTTTACTAGATCACTAAAACCATTTAATATTAGTTCTTCATTACCATCTTATAAATGTCACAGTGTGATAACAACTGACAAAACTTGTGTAGTTAGCCTGCAAATTTATCATTCCACTGGACCTAAGTCAGTTGGAATGTAGATGGATTGACTTTTAGATCTTAATCCAAAAGGTTTGCAATATCGCATTCCAGTTAGCAGACAAGTGCTCCTGAACTTGCATGAGTAGATGCCAGCAAACAAAACATGGTCTGAGATACGAAGATGGATATACTCCTTTTGAAGAAGGGCAGACTGGTTAGTGCCATAAAAATATCAATCTGTTAAAGAGTAATTAGTTGATAATAGATGAATCAGGTTTATTTACATAGACTAAATTTTTAAGTCTTGACACTGTATAAAGAACAATAGAAAACGTAGTGGAAATAGTTTATTTAATGGAAAATATGTTGTCTTTTTTTTCTGGTAGCTGACTAGAAATTGTGCTTTTGCTTAGTGTGTATTGTCTATTTCTTTGTCTTTGACTAGGCAGCATGGCTACAAAATTATGACCTCAAGAAAGCATGCTTTGAACTTGTCAGAATGTTGTTTCTTTTGGTGACAGTGCCCCCATCTCTCAAAACTAAGGCATCTCACATAATCAGCTAAATGAATAGTGACAGCTAACATTTTGTATTTAAACTCCTGTCAGTGTTTAAACATAAAAAGCTTGATGCAAAATAAATCAAACACAGTGATTTGCAAGTGAAACATTTTGTACAAAAAAAGTCCAACATGGTTGGATTAAATCTGATCTCTTTTTAGCTTATAGAATACTATAACTTTAAATTAATTTGAAAAATCTAGAGTTTAAAATTGAATTGCTAATCTGCTGTGTATATAACCGAAGTTACCACATGCGTTTATAACCTTAAAAGCTTCGTTAAAGAGAATTGTGCATGAAATATGTTGGACGGGCCCTTTTCTACTTTTCATCTTTCTGAAGTGCTTGCTTCACTGTTTTTAGAAAGAATTTGACTGCCTACTTACATTTTTTTCAGTCCCCACTACCTACCTAGCACACAGATTCAATGCAGTTTTGAAAGGACGTCAGTAGACCACATCGTTTATTCCATTTTGAAAACAAAAATCAATATACCTATAAAGTGACCTATAAATTAGAGCTGGCTCACACAATGTTTGTTCAGTGCTGCCTTTCTGAATGCACCCTTTGCATTTTTTCTTCACCTCTGTGTTTGAACTGCAGTCTCGGTAAGAAGCTCATTAGGGGACATTAGGGACTGGAGCTAACCAGAATTCCAGAGCTTGCTTTGCTCTTATTAATGCATAGTAGAGTAGAATGCATTTAAATATTTCATAGATATTCAGTAATTTGTGTGTAATCGTCTTGTTAGCAGACCAGTAGAAGTAGAACAGGCCTGTGAAATGGTGTTAGTGATTGCATGTGTAATTTACAGACCTTTGCCATCAGAAACCGTATTATTGTTGGCTAGTATGAAGCTGTGAAATAGAACTACCGATAAGTAAAAAAAAAAGAAACTTAATAAAGGTTTTGTAACAAGCATCTTCAGGGATAACAACCCCACTTGGTCATTTTGAAGCAGCTATAATTTATGACATAGGCAATATATCAAATGCATAAGATAGTATTATGGAGCATTCATATGAAAAGGGTATTTGCAACATTAGTTCCAACTTCCTGCAAGGGACATGATTAAATGATTAATGAAATGTCCCTTTGCATATGCATTTTGAAACAGCAATTAGGCACTGACTGAGAAAAATCCACCAATCCTCTCATTTTTCAGTATTATCTCATTCTTGATTTATAAATCATAGAGAATTTTTGAACAGCAATATGTAGTACCTGAGATAGTTATAAAAGCATAAAAGAGAATAATTTGGGCACAAAATAGTCACAAACACATACATTCATAATTTAATATTAATATTCAGCCTATTTAGTTAGTCTTAGTACATTGTATTTATATCCAACACTATTTCTGTACTTTGATTGGCATAATTAAGTAGGGAGAATGAATAGGCACTATTATTTTACATATCACTGGTAAACAATAGCAACGAAAGGAGAAGGGAGATGTGGCAGAGGTATGTATGTGTTTTTCAAGTTCTCAGTAATCCACTGGAGGCTGTTCTATAAATGATCATCGAAGGGCTGCAAGCTAGCCTATAATTACAGGAAAGAAAGTGGCAGCTCTGGCATTTCATAACTATGTGTCCTCGAAAAGTGCTTTGTGAGTTTGTCACCAATGATAATTTAGATAGAGGCTCATTACTGAACATCACAACACTTTAAAAACCTTTCGCCTTCATACAGGAGAATAAAGGACTATTTTAATGACAAGGTTCTTTTGTGTCCCACTGAAAAATTCAATCAAGACAAAACCTCATTGACTATTATTGTAGTCTATAGTCTCTATTCTAATAAGAGCTGTATAGATAAATTGAATAGGTTTCTAAGACCCAGCTATATAATGCAAACATTTTATACATTTTTTTATTTCTTTAAGTATAGGATAATTATCACTAAGATGTACACAGTGTTAAAAAAAACCTCTCTAAAAGTGATTTTATGCAAAAACAAACATGTTCTACAGCATATATCTTTTCTTATGAAACTGTGTATTCTACTTATCATGTTCCATTTACATTCTAGTCTTTGTGTATAGCTACAGCATTTTTTAAAACATATTCCTCGTTTAGACTGGAATAAATATGTGCATATTCTCCAAGAGTTCATAGTGAAAAAAAAAACATCATAAGAAAAATACAACAATATTAAAGTTAAGAATACAATGACCATTGTAGTACACTGATAGAACACGATCTCATTGTTCATTAAAATTTTGATGAAAACACTGAAAAACAACTTTTAAAGGTCTTGTTAATTAGGAATTAGTGACACTTTACATCATAAGCTTACCTCCTGTTTAACATTTCATGCCTCCTTTCCAGCAAGAGTGAGTGAATTTTAGTTGCGTTACAATTAGGTTCACAGGAGAACTGAGCAGAGCTGAACTGAAGGCAGAGAGGGATAGTGGAGGTGCCACTGCTGCAGTCTAACCCCACACCTCAGATCTGACCTGATGCACTTCACTCTTTTAGTCCACAGTTTCCCTTCAACCAGGAGTGACAATTGTGACAAGATACATGGAAGTTAGTTGTTATGATCAGTGAGGATGTATTAAAACGAATGGATTTAATTTTTCAAGGGAAGGGGCAGGATAGAACAAAGGTTTCCAATTGTTGAACCTAGATCAACTAACAAATAAACCCACCTATTTATAAAGTTGTTCTTTCTCAGAAACACCATTTCAAATCTTCTAGTAATGTGTTGCATATGTATCTATCTATTTTCTTCATTATTCATTTCAAGAAACTTTTGTTGGTATAGTTTCAAGGTGTTCCTTTTGCCCTACTGTGCCGGGAACTATGACTTCAGGGTAGTGCGTTCGAAGTGGAGCATATACTACTGAGACACACATTGTTTAACTTTCTGTTTTGCGTCTTGTGTTTGTTTAGGCACCTTAACAATGAACACGCGTTGGATGACCGGAGCACTGCCCAGTGCCGAGTGCAAATGCAGGTGGTCCAACAGTTAGAAATACAGGTTTGTCAAATGCTAACTTAATGGACTCCTCTCTCATATTTCTGGTGGGTTACATTGAGTACTGGGCACATTCTGAGTCTTTTAACGCAATGCCTAATAGAAATACATGGAATTTTAGATTGTTTAGAATGATGGCAACAACTGATAACTCGGCATGGAAAGATATAGCTTAATGTACATATCACATAGACATATAACCTTTAGATTACATAATCTATATTTGAATATCCAAAAAGAGTCCAATCTCAGTTTTCCCCCATTGTGGTTATACCAACCCCCCCAATTGGATATGATTTTATTAGTTTTTACATCAACTAATCATGATTTTTTCCCCCATTAGATTGTATCGTATAGCAAAAATCTTCATAGCATCATGCCTGTAGCATATTACTCTGAGAAGAACCTTTTCCTTCTCTATCTTTGGTGTCTTTTTAATTAAAGAACTTGCAAAAAATGTTTAAGACTTGTCTGTACTGGAGTTATGACTGCAAATAATTTATAATATCACAGATAGTAATGTATTATATCAAGTACTGCTAATTTAAGTTAAAACATTTTAGTTACTATTGAAACAGCATTTAGCCAAAAATAGATAGAACTCATAAAACAGGTCAGAAGCAGTTATTTCACTGTATCATTCTTACTACGCTTGCCCTACCCTTTAAGGCTTCTTCCAGTGTCTCAACTTAAAGATGTTTTTTTCCCCCTCAATCAGACCCATACTTTGTGTTATTGAATTAAACATGCAATTTATTTTTTTCTTCACCCTTTACTACATCTTGATGTGCTTTAAACCCATCATGTTGTAGCTTTTTCCCAGAGAGCTGTGAAACATGTTTATTTTGACTTGTAAAATAATCAAGGACACATCACAAGCATAATTAGTGATGTCGTTTTAAAAAAAAACTTTCTGTAAACCTGTTTACCACCTAGAAAAGGTGGAGAAAAACATAAAAGTTCAGCTGATGAAGACACAGTCTGCAGTGTGACCAATTATGTCTTTTTCTTTTTTTCTTTTCTGCCGTGTCTGACTGATGGAAAAGTAAGGTCCGTCACTTGTAATGAGACCCAGTGCAAGTATAGAAGCCGACTCGGTGGCAGAGTTCAGCGTTTCACACTGCCTGGTCTCTGTCACTCTATTGAATTAGATTGATGATGGCAGATTGGAGGGGGCACTAACTGGACCTCAGTGGGAATGCACGAAGTGTGGAGACAACCCTGGCAGGCACTTTGCTTTGAGAACCCTTCACCCCTTCACAGCTGTTGGCACTAGTCCATCGCTAACAGTGTCCACAGGACTTTAAAGAGACACCATGGGTCTTCTAATTTATGGTTTTAGTAACTTGTTACTGTCAAGACAACTGTGACCTCAATTCTCTTATTGACAAAAAGATGAAGTGTTATTTGTTTTCGCTGACCTTTTAACATAAGGAAAGCTAGCCATGTTTTCTTCCCCCCTTCCTAGCTAAAGTTGCGCTGCCGCCCAGAGAAGTTCCTGCGGACACAGACTTTTGTATGCAGGAATCATTACTCTGAGACAAGCTCAATGATAAGATGTATCACTGCAATAAAATAGCTGTATCAGTCATTTCTAAAATGCTTCTGATCTCACTCGTTCTTAACAGCTTTCTAAAGAACGAGAACGTCTTCAAGCGA